AATGTACCGGCCGACGCGGATCGTGAGGCCGATAATCTCGTTCGACCGGTTGCGCACAGCACTAATACGGTGCAGTTGGCGCTCGAGGCCGGCGCGGTCGTCGCTGCCAAAGCCGCCGACGCGGTCGACAATCAGATCGAGGTCGTTCTGGCACACGACGCGCGCCTCGTCCTTGGGCAAGAGGAAGAAGCGCGCGCCGTTGACCCACGCCCACGGCCGCCGCCCGAGGTCCAACACAATGTCGAGGAGATTGGCGGCCACGTCCGGTGTTTGAAGCGGCGCGGCAAACTCGGGCGGCAGCAGCGCAAAGACGTCGCCCATGTCTTCGTGGACCACGAGCGGCGTGCTTTTCGCCAAGCTCGACGGCCGCAGATGGTGCAGCACCTCGTACGAGGCAAACTTGTGCTTCTGCTCGACATCAAAGCTCAGCGTGCGGACGCCCTTGGCCGCCATGGCGTTCGTGACGCGCTCCATCGACGCAGCGCGCCACGCCGACGTCGTCGACGCCATGGCAATGCGAATAGGCTTGGCGGCCTCGTGGAGCAAATACGAGGTCCAAACCGCTGCCCGAATGACGACATCGTCCGAGCAAGGAGGCTTCTTGAACGCTTGCAGATAGTGCGGGTGGGGGTGCGGCTTGAGGTTATGACGCGACACCATCGACGTAAACGACGCCGTATACTCCTTTGTCGTCACTTCCATGGCAATCTGCAGATCCAAGACCGATGCGAGCGGCGGGAGGGAAAGAGATGCGAGAGCAGCACCCATGCGGTGGGCATCAAAGATGATCTTGGTCATCGTGGTCGACTGCAGCAGCGGACTCAGTTGCGCGACGAGGTCGTCCAAAGAAATCTCTTCGCAGTCGATGAGCACGACAAGGTTTTTCAGACCGAGCTGTAGCTGGAGGTGTGGGAACGCCGACCCGACAACCTCGAGCGTCACGTCTTCCTTGTGCGTCGCTAGCGTCGCGACATCCGGGTACGTGCCAAAGCCGCACCGAAGATCGTCGAGCGAGCAGATTTCGTACGCGTTAAACGAGCCGACGACGAGGGTAGGGTCCAGTGCCGGCATGAGCTGGGACAACGGCGCCTTTGGTACAATGACCGGCGCGCTCGGTTTCGCGACCACCCGTCGTGCCGTTGTAGTGCCTGTTGCTTGATGGGAATTGACACGAGGCGCGCGTGCTCCGAACGGTTGAAAAGTCGAAGACGACGAATAGGACCCAAAGCCGGTTGGCTGCGACTCACTCGCGCCAAATGCAGAGGCCTTTGTGGCAGCGCCGGCCGAAGGTGCAGAGCTGGTCGCGCCATGGGTCGTGGCTGCCGTCGATGAGGCGAAAGGCAAGTTGGTGGCTTCTCTCGGGTGTTGACCAAAACCAGCGCTGGTCGCCGATGAAGATCCACCAAAGAAGCCTGTTCTTGGCGGGTAGCCAAAGTAGGATTGGGGGGCAGCACCAAACGAGAAGCCAGTTGTCGAGCTGGACGAAGCTGTGGCGGCACCTCTAAACGAATATGCCGACGGCTGTGCTGTTGTCGTTGTCGTTGTCGGCGCGGACGACGAGCCAAACGAGAAACCACCCGTCGCTGACGCTGAAGAAGCCCCGAACGAAAAGCCACCCGTCGACGACGCTGAAGACGACCCAAACGAGAAACCACCGGTCGAAGACGCGGGTGTCGCTGCAAAAGCGTTGGCTTGGCCACTGGGCGGCGACGCGCTGTGTGAGGAAGCAGCGACCATGTGGGTGTCGGCAAACGGCTTCTTCTCGGCGGGTTGCGGCACGATCGTGGCTTGTGCGAGCGCCGCCTCCTTATCGGTGCGCTTGAGGTAGTCTTCAAAGCGCAGTTCTTCCACCGACTTGTGCGCATAGGCGTCCATCATCGAGATGGATTTGTAGCCGATGATGAGGGCCGGCTGGCCTCTCTCGCTCTCGAGCAAGTACGTCGTGCTGTACGCTGGTTTGGCCGTGCCGCACTGGACGTGGCGCGTCGACGTGGTCACAGCACACTCCTTTATCGCGTCCACCACGTCGGCGGCGGATGCTTCCTGCTCGTCGCTGCTGCCGTCCTCGTCGCCTTCACTGCTGGCGTTCTTGTCGCCATCGCTGCCAGCACCTTCCTCGTCGAGCCTGCTCTCGCCGCTCTCACTGCGCTCAGAGGTCGAGTCGCTGGATCCAGTGTTTTGGGCAAAGTGATTCGTGTACTGCTGCGCGATCACTCGGCCGCCGGTGCGCCCATGGCCTCGGCCGCCGCGCCCGCGTTCCGTCCACGACATTTTGAAAGCAGCTGGTGACGCCTATGCACGCATACACTGTTTACAGAATATACACTGTATGTGTTGCTGTCCAGCGGGACAATCGCAATCGGACCATTGATCGCACAGCACCAACACGAGCTGTTTTTAGAGCAGCGACATCGTGGCACTTGGAGAACGTCCACGAAAAACACACAAGTAGAGCAGCCATGTAAACGCTGCATTAGCACGTAAACTGCGCCGTCAACTGCGCATCCGTGACGTAGTGGCCGCCACCGGCACAGCGCCAGCCACCGGCCACTTTGAACCACGCGAAGCCGGCAGGGCACGGACAGAGGCGGCGAATGCGCTCCTGCACGGCGGCGGCTTTGGCCAGCTCGAGACGGAGGGCCTCGGCGTCGAGCTCTTGCTGGCGGCCTGCGAGGTATGCGGCGTGGACCATCTTCGCCGCTTCGAGCTCGGCCCAGTCGGCGTCCGAGACACCCGCATCCCGCTGAATGTCGTCGTTCTGGCGGAACGCGTCACCATCGTCTGTCTTTGCCGGCTCGGGAGCATCTTGCTTGCGCGTTGTTTCTGTGGGTCGCATAGCTGGTGGTGGCGGCATGCTGCCTGGCGTCTGCACTGGAGCTATCTCCGCGCGCGCATCGGATAGCGACACCGGTGTCCGTGCTGCGATCATGGCTGTAAACGCCGTGTCGACGTCGTCTACTTCAATTGTCTTCTCAACGTCTGCCGGTCGACCGACAATGCGATCCGCGCGCGCGGTCAGAACTGCGTTCCAGAGCTGCTTGACGTCACGGCCGTTGCCCCACCCCGGGAGGCGGCGCACAGCGTCCAAGTGACCTTCGATGCACTCGAGCACATCTTCCGACGCAATATAGTTGTCACGAGCGATCGTCGCGCGTAGAAACGCCATGCAGTCGGCCGTCGCCCAGTCGGGAAAGTCGAAAAACTGCGTGAAGCGGCTCTTGAGACCGACGTTGCGGTCCAGCATCCGGTCCATGTCGGCGGGATACCCGGCAATGACGATGACGAGACCGCTGTACGCGGGGTCGGTCATGGCCGCCACGAGCGTCGTCATGGCTTCCTGCCCGTACCACTTGTCGCCAAGGGCGTACGCTTCGTCGATGAAGAGAACGCCGCCGTTGGCTGCATCGAGCTTCTCGGCCACGCGCTTCTTCGTTTGGCCGAGGTACTCGCCCGTGAGACCCAAGCCCGACGTCTCTTCGACATGATCGACCGCGAGAAGATCAAGCTGGTACAAAATCGTCGCCACGGCGCGCGCGACCGTCGTTTTGCCCGTGCCGGGTGACCCGCGAAACACAAAGTGTCCGAGCTCGGGGCGCGGCGACCCTTCGGCGTCGGCCACTTGCATAGCGTTCCGAAGGCTGCGCAAGCGACTCTTGATGTCGTCCATGCGGTAGAGGCCGTCGAGCAGCTGCAGCGGATCCGCGTCCATATCGGGTGACGCGACATCGTCACGAACAAAGTCGGCGGCCAAGAGCACTATGGGGCCGTCACGGCGCGTCGCCTTGACCATCGCTTGCTGCACGAGCGCGTTCACAGCGCCCGCATTGCCAAAATGCGCCAGTCGTTTCTGCCGCTCGAGCTCGACAAGAGCGGCCTCCATGGCGTCCGCCGAGCAGCCAATTTCGTTGCGCGTGCACGCATACTGAAGAAGCTGCAACAGCTCCACGGGCGAGTAATCGTCAAAGACAAAAGCCGCGTCGCGCGGAAAGCGGCGCGCGAGGCCTGGGTTCTGGTCGCGCAGCATCGCCAGCATCTTGTCTTCGTAGCCGAGCAAGAGCACGGCCATGTCGTCGTAGCCCGTGTTCTGGATCTTCTCGACGAGCACATCGAGCGCTTGCTTGCCGTAGCGACTGTTGTCCAAATTGTAGGCTTCGTCGATGACGAGGACCTTGCCGCGGGCCATTTCCAAGCACGCTTGCGTCTTGGTCTGAGTCTCGCCGCTGTAGTGTCCGATCAAGTCGCTGGCGGTTTTGAGCACCACGTCGCCGCTCGAGAGTAAGTGGAGTTCCTTCAGGATGCGCCCGTACAGCGCCGCGCACGACGTCTTGCCCGTGCCGGGGTTGCCCAAGAAGAGGCGGTTCAGCATCAGTGGCAGCGGCGCTTGGCCCGAGAGCTGTCGCTTGTAGTTCTTCTCGCAGTGCTGGACGAGGTCGTGAACGCTCTTCTTGATCGAGGTCCACCCAATCTTTCCCTCGAGTTCACCCAAAACGCGCTCGAGCGTAGGGTTGTGCAGCGGATGGTCGCCAATGACGTCGTCGACGCGCAGTACGAGCTTTGCACCGTCAAAGGTCGGCCGAGCCATGGCGCTCATGGTGGCGGCCTCGACTTCCTTGCGCACGGACCGAGCGTTGCCAAAGTCTTTCGAGTGCGCGCGCATCGCAAGCCGCTTGGACACGATCGTCGCGAGCTCGGGCGGCGCCGTCCACCCGCGCGCTTGCAGCTGCAAGTCCCAGACAGCGTGCAGCTCGGCTTCGTTCATGGCGTCAAACGGGATGAGCTGGAAGCGACTCTTGAGACCCGAGTTAAAGCCAAAGAGCTTGGTTTCCATTTCGTCTTCGTAGCCCGCCAAGATGATGGTGAGATTGTTCCGGTACTTTTCGGCGAGCGTGATGAGCTCCGAGACGATCGCGCGGCCTTTAACATCCCGGTCCGGGTCCAAATCGAACGCCTCGTCGATGAAGAGGACGCCGTCCTTGGCCGACGCCGCGCGCTTTCGGAACACGTCGATGGTTTGGTCCAACAGCAACTGCGCACTGACTTCGACAAACACATCCTTTGGGCGATGACCCGACTCGTACAAGAGCGTGGCGAAGAGCCGCGCGACCGTCGTCTTGCCCGTGCCCGCGCCCCCGACAAAGCAAAAGTTGAGCGAGAGCGGGTTCTTCTTCTGCATCGCAAGCGACATCTTCTTGCGCGCTCGCGCCGACTGGAAGAGCTGGATGGCCGCGCGCTTGACCTTGGCGATGCCAATCATGCCGAGGAGGCTCTCCATGGCGGGCGAGCGCACGTGCTCTGCGTCAACCAGTGCTCTCCAGAGCTGGGACGGGTCCGTCGGCGACCACGTCGGTGCTGGTGACGCGGGCGAGAGCGCTCGCATTTCGTCGGCCGTCAACCACGTGTCGCGCGCACTTGGGTACTTAAGCACAAAGAGCTTGACGTACGCTACGTCGCTGGTCCAGCGCCCCATCGCGAGAAACAAGAGCGGGTGCGCGTCGACCTGCTTGTCGTGGACGGAGCTCAGATACGCCTCAAGCTCGGTCAATGTCGTGGTCACGCCCGGCAAGTGGAGCAGCTCCAGCGCATACAGCAAGTTGAGCTCGGGCAGGTCCATGGATTCCTGTAGAGTGCGGAGGTAGCGGATACCTGCAAACGGGAACGATCCCGATGCTGTCCATGGTAAAAACTGCAGCTTCTTGGTGAGCTCGAGCTGCACGGCCCGCGGTGTGGACGCCGACACGAGCGTCGTGCCGTCCCAGTGGCTTGGAAACTCAATGCCCGCAAGGCGTGTCGTGGCCAAGATGCTATTGTAGTCATCCAGCGGCTCGTCGCCTGTGTTTGAACAAAATCCAGCGGTGCTCGTTGGGGATGCCATCGCGCCCGTACCAGACTCCGTCGGCCGCGTCGTCGTTGGTGACGACGCTGATGTCGATGGTGCAGCGCCAAACGAGAAAGCAGTACCAAATGGAGCTGGTGGTAGTGTTGCTGACGACAACGGAGGGCGAAATGAGAACGCCGTGCCGGTTGGAGCTGGTCCAAAAAAGGGAAGCCCGTCGGCTGCGTCGCTGCTGGTGCACCGAACGAGAAGCCAGACGTCGTACCAAATCCAGGTGTGGTCGACGATGGAGCACCAAACGAGAAACCAGACGTCGTGCCGGTTGGAGCGGGTCCACCAAAAGAGAAACCAGACGCCGTGCCGGTTGGAGCTGGTCCAAAAAAGGGAAGCCCGTCGGCTGC